AATAATTTATAAAATTACTTAAATTAGTTCAAAATAATTAAGTTATATATGTTATAATTGTATAATAATTATATATGTCTACCTATACTAAAGATCAATTATTGTTTCTATTATATATCATTATTTTAAACTATTATAAAGTGCTTAATTATTAAAAGTTTTTAATCAAATATATCAAATTTAATGAACTTTAATTTAAAAATCTAGGATTATAAAAATAATACTTCAACTATTTTTGAATCTGGTATACAATTTGTTTCTTACAACTTTTCAAATACAATACCATATAATCTTTATTCAAAACAACAAAAAAAAAGCATGAATAAGAATATTTAAAGAAACTATCTGCTAAAATAATAAATTATAAAAAATTACAAATTACTAGTTCTTTTAAATCTGGATTCGAGGCACTGGTCAGGATTGAGTCAATAAAAAAATAATAGCAAAACTAGCAAGAATATAAATAAGGAAAAAGATAATATAAAAGAAAAGAAAAAAGTTATTAAAGAGAATATTGATAAGATGAATAAAGACAATATAAAGGAAGTGAAAAATGATAAGGAAGAACAATAAGCTGCAATTAAATACACAAAATGGTAAACAAAAGAATATATTATGAATAAGTATTAAATCACTTGTTAAACAGAGACTATAGTTATTTCATAATGCAAAAAATATCAACCTCCTTGAAACATGTTCTAATAATATTGAAGAGTTTTTTGTTACTAATTAGAAATTCATTTGTAAAATATGTAATTTCTTATTATCTGAATATAATGATTACTAAAATCTTGAACAAGTATAAGTAAATATTAGAATAAATTTATTGGCAAGAGAATGTACAAAATGAAAATTCTATTATTTACAAGATTAGAAAAAAAGATACTTATCAAAAGTAGGAGAAAAGAGTAATAACAATAGAGATCTTTATTTGATAAAATTAGCAATAAAGTATATGTACTTATTTGAAGATCTGTGTTTTCTTTGGTTTTGAGCTTTTTTGCAATGTATTTATATTGTTTACAGAATATTGTCTTTATTCATCTTATCAATATTCTCTTTAATAACTTTTTTCTTTTCTTTTAAAGCACAAACCTTTATTAAAAATATAATTTCTTTGATTACTCTGTCAATGATAAATTTTAACAAATCAGCGCAGCTCTATAAAAAAAATTAGTGGTCGCAGATCCACTGAAATGATGACCACGATCAATTTTTTCGACCAATCAAATCATTTGGTTAACTCATTGAGGTAGGCACTTGAGAACCGCCTTATTAATGTTTTACTCTAACTTTAGCCCAGTCTCAATTTCAAAACAATTCTTAACTATATACAGTAAACTCTCTAAACTGAGCCTAGATAACCAAAACACTTAGACTCTGCAGAAATTGAACACAAATCTTTAATAAATTTTTTAATAAATTCAGTTTATAGATATAGTAAACTTTTTTTAAAAATTTTTACAAAAGGTTCAATATAATCAGAATTGTATATTTTATTTTTTTAACCATATTGTATAATTAAAATTTAAACCATATAACATTGGTAATTAAAATATACAATTATGTAACAGATATGTATCATTTTACTGTCAATCATTTATTAAATAGCATGACTGATCCATCCCTTCTTTTAGTTGGCAGTGGGGTTTGTTCTATTTATCATTTGTTTATTTTAAAAAATTCTTGTTGATGATAAAATTTGTTCACAATAGATATTTAAACAAGAAACTATTTTTTTATACAACTACCTCATATATCTCACATAGATTATTGCACCAGTAAATTTAATATGGAAATCAAACTTTCATTACTAATACAAGTGCAAAAGATATTAAAGTTACAAGACATGTGTTATATAGATTCATAAATATGCTTTTGATAAATCTTTTGAAGCACTAAATACTGCTATTAAGAAAAATAGAATTATAAGTTAGTATTTTATAATTTTTATAATTCTAAATTAATGTTTTCATTTAGTATATTTTTATTTTATTTTTAATAAAATATTTTTAAATCACCTAGAAATATCTATTTCAAATCTATATAAATTTCTGATGTTTTAATTGATGGATCCAAGATTAATGGTTTTATTACAAAAAATATTAGATATAGCTAATAATGTTTCTACTTATGCTACTTTCAGATCTAATATTAAAAGTTCATTGAATGTAAGTACTGGCATCAATCTTGATACTGAGGTTATGGAAGTAAAGAAGGCTTGTATTAATAGTAAAGTACTTAGTGTAAATGATTTAAATAAATGAAGAAGTGAATTATATATATGTGTGTTACTAAATTATTTATATTATATATATAAAGTTTTAACTTTATATATTTATTTTCAAAGTTACTTGTTCAAGCATATAAAGATTTATTGATTCCAATATTATTAATTTAATAAGATAGTTTAATCACTACATTAATAAATTAAATAATAATATTGATTTAAAAAAAAAATTATTACTAGAATACAATAATGTTTGAATATAATTATGCCAAGTGGGTGGGAATAGATTTTTTGAAAGCTTTGTTTGCTTGTGTATAGGTTGGTGGTATGTATATTGTTTCAGATCTTCTTTAGTATAGGTGGGCATATATAAATTATTACAAGATTATAATATATAAAACCTAACTAATTTGAGACAATTTAAACCTAACCTTAACTCTGACTCTAATAATTTATAAAATTACTTAAATTAGTTCAAAATAATTAAGTTATATATGTTATAATTGTATAATAATTAT